GAATCTACGAAGTGTAGACCCCGTGGCGATAGCTGCTTACCTCGGGTGCCAAAGTATTGCAGGAGGAAGGACAGCACTGCGACAATGAACAACATGTTTGTTGTGATATGAAGCCTATGACTTCCCCTTTTATATGAGTGAAGTATACTTTGTCAGCACCTGTATGTCCTGAAATCTCATTGACTACGTTCAAAATATTTGAATAGAGTCGCTCAGCGTTGTCTTCATTTCATCGTTGGCTGCTGAGAGCACGTATTCTGTTTGTAGTGCTCACCGCTTCAGTGTATCCATGCACTTTCAGGCACCAGTGTTCATGGGACAAGATTCAGTCCTTCATTCGCATCCTGTCTCTGAAATAGCAATGACTTCACTGTGTGCATGGCCGGCTATAATTACTCTAAGTGCTAAATTTCAGCTTATTTGCAAGCTACTAAAAATTATTCATGTAACAGAAAGCCCCAATAACTGTGCCAAACCTTAAGTACGACAAGTAAGCAAAAGTCGGCAGTCAGTGGAACGCTTTCTCGGTCTCAATATCCATCAGATGGAGCTCTAAAATTTCTGAAAATGTTCGAGCTTTCCAATCAAAAAATGAGTGCTTTGGCAAGACACGAGGGCATCCTTTTTAGACTGAGCCTGGGAGGGGGAGGCACTTCGGTAAAAATGGAGACTGCTCACGTAGCCTGGAGTATCTCATCTCTCGCCTAGATCTTAGTCCCCTTTGGGCCAAGGAAGGAGGTGTTTTACGCAGTTTCGAGGTTTTGCGCGTTGCCACCATAGTGCGCCAGAAAAGACCACACAGAACAAATTCAAAAGAATCTACCCAAGTTCAAATTCGGAAGTAAAACAAAGCAGTGTGTATACAACACGGTACTAATAGGCCTAGCATCGAGAATTTCTGAGGCGAAAAGATACCAGAGCGTCCCGTATCTACTATATTACGATGGTATGAGGGAATGGACAGTGGACCCTGCGATTGTGCAGCGTTGACGCTAGGGAGACCGAGAAGCAGGGTGAAAATCATGTCGAGGTCGTGGTCACATCAGTACGACCCCCCCCTCAGATCGGGTCTTGATACGACCCCTCTAACTTTGATTTGATGTGAATAAGCGAGTTCCATCAATGTACAGCAAAGCATTCAGTTGCAGCGCGGTTTATCCGTGGGTCAGATTTGCCGAAACCCCGCTCGAAACCGTCGAAATCTACACTCTCGATGAAAAGGTTCCATTCCCCCATTTCATAACCTTTGGAGCAGTATGTGGTAGGGTTAGATAGAGCTGGATTGCTTCACACTCGAATAGATAGGGTCTCTCAAATTTTGTCGAGGCAGCGTCGAGGATGCTGAAATTTTCATGCGAGTTTTTGCCACTTAAAAGGCAATATCTCTCTAATTTTGTAAGATCTTGAAAAAGAAGATAGTTTTGGAAAGCGGAAGGTTGCGCTTTCTGAACAGTATGTTTAGCTTCCTTCTACATTTCCTAGTTGAGGAGATATTGCGTCGAGGATCTATCGAGGATGGATCTCGGCCACCTAAAAAATCCTTCTTCACCATTGCAAGTTAATTCGTTGGCAACTCTCGAAATGTGTCTAGAATAAATTCTCCCAACGTAAGCGACAAGAAAAGGGGCAATCGTCATCGTCCGATCTCGTCTCAGTATAGGCCATGCATCCGACCTCCACTCAAGTTGTAGAATCTATTGAAAGGTGTTATACATATGAT